GATCGTTAAAGGGTTAATTGATTGTTTTTTGAACTTCGCTATACATTCAGTACAGTCTGAGAGAAAAGTTTACGATGTCAGTGGCTTACGCGCATTTGTCAATTTTCAGCACCTGCTAGTCACATGACCATTTAAAAAATGATGAAAATCACAATATCACTATGTTTGGCCAAACATGTTTCACCCTCCAGGCTATCAGGAGGGATGGCTAGTGAGGCGTGGGCTCTAATGAGGCGGATGAGGCTGCCAACACGAACATAGGCCACTGACATATCTACCTCGAAAGGTTAAGAACTTTCTGTCGAACACTCTTCACAGTCATTCGAAGTATTGTTCCACAAGGAATAGATTAACCACTAAGGGACGACGTGCACACCTCAGGTACACGATTGTTCGAAGGCCTTTTTCGTTGCAGAAAGATTTCTTTTGAAAACTTGGTAATCATTCAAAAGCGTAACTCTCTGCGATTCCAGAACCTTTTTAGTTTCAAAAATACAGCTTTTCATTACGTTCTAACAGCGTAAATAAAGTTATTTTTCACACTCAATTTCATTCAATTGCCCCGCTGGGGCTGCTAACCAGATCCTTGTACAAAAATAAGCTCTCAACCCCTATTAGCATATGTAAAGCCTGTATGCGAGAACGTAGCTTGAAAACAGATCTTCTATAGCTAAACATCTCTAATCGAGGTTTATGTGGAGATATATCTGATACGTAGCTTTGGTGAGTGGCGCGCGTTCATCATTGCGCATGATGTGTTACTTCCCCTATCAGCACCCATATTCGAAAAGACGTATTTGTAGCTCTTTTTAGACATTTTAGTAATTATTCGATAGCTTAGGTCTCGATAAATCCAAAGACATACTTCATTTTTGGAAGGTTTCTGTATTACATTGTAACAGGGAAAAAATATGTTATTTAACACTTGAGCATCTTTCGATTAGCAACGCTTTTCCATAAAAAATTCAGAAGTTCTTCGACAACACAAATCTCGGCAAACTTAACTTAAAAGTTTCAAGGATATGCTTGGTTCTTGAAAAAGTCTTGTTAGTGCGTCATCATAGCTAAAATAATATAGAGCTTTACACTAGGAGCGCACCGGAAGCCATAAGTAAATTGCGCTTCGCGACCTACACGGCACCGAGTGCAAATCTTAATGATCTTTTAGCTGTAGCAACATATTGAAACGACCTTCTCAAAACCAAGCTTATTATTGAGATTGCTGAGATTTTTGCTATCGAATGGTTATTGATAATCTGAATAGAAGCTTCTGTCCAGCGAAAGATGCTTGAGTGTGAAAGAAAAATTTGTACTTGAATGCTAAGCGGTGACAAATTTCTAAGCCACTCTCATTCGCTGAACAGGCAATTTTCATAGGAGTATTTATAAATACTCGAAAGTTTAAGTCTCTTTCTACAACTGTGCGTATTGGTTGTTTTGAAACACCCTTTTATAACCCTGTGGCATCTAGAAAAAAATTTCACTTCTCACTCGCATTTCGCCTTCATTTTTATCACGATTAGTACTGCTAGAAAGGTGTTTAGCATGTCAGCGTGTACAGAATTTTTCGTTATGTCAAAATTACTACCTTTGATCTGAAGTTTCTATCGATCCTATAAAAAAAAGCACAACAAAGCAACAATAGTTCTCGTTGTTCATGCTTAATGCCGTAGATCACCGCTGAGTTACGCAGAAGATTAGGTGATTATCTAGCTAACAAGTCGTTGCTGTGACTTGTCTTCACATTTCACTCAGTTGCGAACCTTTTCGGCGACTTTGCTTACCGGCCAACTCACGCAGTAGCGGAACGGAGCAGGGGCGGAACGACCGATCGCGTTTAGAATACTGTTATTCAATTCGGGATTTTCCAGTGCATCGACAGCATCCAAAGATAAAAACATAGATTTTGATGCTACGAAAAATTGTCTTTACGTCAATATGCTTTTCGTGTTTCCAGCTAATTAAACACGTACTAAAAGTGCAGGCGAAACGCGAACGAGAAACTAAATTTTTTCTATATGCTACAGCGACATGAAAAGGGTGATCTGAAAAATCGGCAATGCTTCGTTGTAGCTGGAGATTTGAAGTGTCTATTGATTACTAACACTTCTAAGAAAAGATCCTGAGCAGCGAATGAGCTCAACTTAAAAATTTGTCGGCTCCTAACACATAAGTATCGAAAATTTTATTTCGCCCTCATAGCATAATATAAAAACCATTTGAAAAATAAAACACACCCTTTAGATTCTCGATATTCAAGCTGTCGAACGATTACTGAAGCCTCAAAAAGTAACAAAAAATACTTTATTTGAATATGGGATGCGGATAAAAGAGAAGCACTGAGAATACTTTTCTGGAGTCACATATTTCTGACCAGTAGTTTGGATAGTGCCTATTTTCTAGGACCTTCATTCAAGCACGGCCGTCCCTTACCGCTCAGAATTCTTCCGCTGTCCATAAGTACTCAACCTTTTCCCGCTTACCGCAACCCTGAATAACTAGAAATAACGAATGATTGATTTAACTTAGTTTTAGTGAGAGTTATCGATGAACTAGTATCGAATACAGCATAAATTACCATACTTGTTGTAACCTACTCATTGCTTTCACTTTTCACTCACTATGATGGCTCCTGGATCTTGTGTATACTATGATAGATCAAAAATGGGGTTTTTCTATTGTGGAATCCTCCATACAATTCAATACAGTTGATTAATTTTTAAACTCAGCACAATTTCGTAATATACCAACTTTTTTCTCTATGCAAGACGCATGTATCCAAACCATAATCATATGAACGAAGAAAGGAAATCTTCTGCTATCAAAGCTAAACGACAATTTTAGAATTATCATTAAACGGCGAAGATAACCTTGATCAACTAGCAAAAATCGCGCATTTTGCTCTGAGCGCATCGATTCTATGACCGTCCCTGAGGGGTTAAGGATGAAGCTCTCGACGTGGATCAATACCCAAGCAAGGATGTTCCATGCACTGATCTTCAAATTGTAGCTTCTTCGTTTAGCTGATTAGAGGCAGATTCCAGAATACACAATGATGGGTCTGGTGATTTATCCAGTCTGCGATGGTTATGGTCCCGCACTCTTCCGATAACTATTTCACCAACCTCAAAGGAATGGAAGGTTTTGTGAGCCATGAGCGTAAGACCGAACTCGATCTTGTCTGCGACTCGAAGCAGCTCCAACCACTGCGCCACATGCGTTTGTTCCACAAATTCAAAAGATAAGTGAAAATCTTTCTATTTCCACCAGAATTATAGGGAATTTGGTTGATGATAAAAGAACTCTACAATAGAATTTGTCTGTTATTTCATTCAATCGTTGATAATGAATCAGAAATTGAATAGACCGGTCTCAAAAAAGGAGATTCAAATACGTACATTATACGTAGTAAAGCAGTTAGTAAGCAAGTAGTAAGCACCAAATTGCAAAACACATTCAATCGTTGATAGCACTAGCACTACACCTTTATCTCGAGTGCTTTATTTAGACCACGCTCAAATTTCAATATATCCTTTCATCATTTTGTGCCAACATGTGGTCTGATAAGGGCTCTTGTACAGCCCGAGACACGTGTTTTTGTCCTTACAGACTCATCAGCCGGGCAGAACCCGTCGTCTGTCGATCTTTTCATAGTCAGTTCTCTCGGGAGCGTCACACTCCTTATATATAGTTAGCGACGACGTACGCTTTACACTCTATGTCAGGTGAGACATTCACCTAACAAAGAGTGTTGTGCACTCGATTGCTCATTGGCTGGTACTTTTACTTACAGATCACATGACATATTGGCTCAAATAATGATGAAAGGATATATTGAAATTTGAGCGTGGTCTAAGCAAAGCACTCGAGATAAAGGTATAATTATGATAAAAGTACCAGCCAATGAGCAATCGAGTGCACAACACTCTGTGTTAGGTGAATGTCTCACCTGGCCTAGAGTGTAAAGCGTACGTCGTCGATGACTATGTATAAGGAGTGTGACGCTCCCGAGAGAATTGACTATGAAAAGATCGACAGACGACGGGTTCTGCCCGGCTGATGAGTCTGTAAGGACGAAACGCGTATCTCGGGCTGTACAAGAGCCCTTACCAGACCACATGACATGTTGGCTCAAATAATGATGAAATGATAGCACTACAGTTGCATGGTGGATTGTATTTACACCAAGAAAACAGCATACATTTCTCTACATTGACACTTCAAATTGCTCACAGCACTAGATTTGTATGGTGCAATGGAAACACACCAAGATAACAGGATGCTTTTCCTCACTCGCGCCCATTTTCAGTCCATCGAAAAAAGCGCGTTTTTTGCCTGTTTTATAAAGCTTTAGTAACCACTGGATAGCCTACACCTAGAAAACTTCAAGAACGTGCTTAGTTTTTTGATAAGAAACGAACTCTGGCCTCTAGCAGTACAAAAAATATATTTCACGCTCGGGCGGTTTTCGCTGGAAACAGCTTTTCATCTAGACTTTCCACAACCATTCGACAGCACAAATCCGACAATTTCAATGATATGCTTGTTTTCAAAAAAAAAACCTTCCATTGGACCTACATAGCCAAGAAAGCTTGAGTATCGCAGTCGGTGCGCATTTCTTGTCGGCGACGGGTGCGTGTGTTTCGAAAGAGAGATGGCTCGATGTCAATGTTGCAAACTTCCATGCAGTACTGAAGCAAGGAGTGGATGGAAGTTGTGGAAATTATACTATCGAATTAGTTTTTTTTCAATTACAAGGTGATAAGATGAAAAAATCACCCTACTCGCTGGACAAGGACTTTTCATAGGAGTGATGACAATCATTCGGAAACTCAAATCTCTGACTAGAGCCCTGCCTGGCCGGTACTTGAAGATAGCATTTTATTACGCAGCAAATATAAAAATAAAATATAGTCTAGATTCTTTTCATTTTTGACTGCCACTTGCAGTGGTATGATGTTATAGTATACCCAATAAGTGGAGTGCTGTGCAAAAACGTTCAAGTCGGTCGGGGTTCGAACCCAGATCTCAGTCTTGCCGGGTGCGTATGCTGACCGTTGCACTACCGACGCTCATTTTGCATGTTTTTTTTCGTTTTTTACGTTTTTGCACTGCACTCCACATATTGGGTATAAAATATAGCTTCACACATGCATGTTTCCCGCCGGCCAAAGCTCTTTCTCTAGGCTATTAGTAATGATTCAATTGCGTAAGTTTCATTGATTCCGATGCTTTGCTTACTTTCTGAAAAGACAGTTTCTCTGTAGTGCAGTAGGGAAAATACCGTTGAATTCGCTTGAACGAGCAAGTGGTCACTAGTCAACTTAGGGCAGCTGGACGAGCAATCAAGGTGAGCTGACTCGATGAGCGATCGATTTCTGATCCAAAATCGATCAATCGTGGCGCCAGCCCACCTTGAAGCCTCATCCAACGGCCTATGAATTGGTCAAAGACCTTTTGCACGCGCATGCGAATTCATCATTATTTTCCCTGCTGCACTGCAGAAAAACGTTTTTTTCAGGAAATAAGCATAGCATTGGAGTCGTTGAAACCTACACTTTCGAACGATCACAAATAGTCTAAAGAAAGAGCTCTATCCAGCACGAAATATGCGCGAGAAACACAATTTTACTCAAGATGTTACAGAGTTGTAGAAAAGTTTTTTCTAAAACCTGCTATGTACGGCTCTAGCGAGAGATTCATGCTCTGCAATGACTGAACGAGATGGAATATTTGTCTTTTTTCCTCAAAACCATAAAAAAAAAACTATCGAATGATTTCTGTGAGTCTGACGGAGAAGCTTTGTTCAATAAAAAATGCTTGAACGTAAAGCATAATTTTATTTTCATCGCTACAGCGTAATAAGCTGGCCATTTTCAAGAAAATACGCCGTTGAAATTTCTGAGATTTGTTCCATCAAATGGCTACAGAAGTTCTTTGAAAAAGCTAAAAATGCGTTTATCCCAAGGGGCTGAAAATGGGTGCAGAAGGGTGAAAGTACGGAAAATAGTAGCACACGCACCACGGAGATGAAATATGCGGAACATATGAAGCGATAAAGGAAAGCACTTGCCATAACTGTCATGCTCCCAATTACTCAAAAGCTCCAACTAGCAAAAAACTAACGTCTATCCAGGTGAAATAAAAGGTGGTAGCGCAGTTTTTAGTGATGCTGTGAATCAGGAAGCAAGACGTTGAGTAAGGCGTAGATTCAATCCCCTCTCCAACACCGTCTTGGAACGAATCAACGATGTCTCAAAAAAGGTGTGACTTTTGCCATCCCTAGTCTTGCAGAGAGAATCACGTCGTTGACATTTCTACGAAATTCATAAAATCGACAGACTCTTGCTGCAGCCGAAGCAATACACGAGGTGTTTGAAGGCCTTATTTGGCTACAAGTACGATGAGGAAATCAAATGCAAGGAGCTCTGGTATGTACACGTTATCTTGTAATAACGAGGGTATGAGATAGAAATAAGGGAAATATCGACATCAAACTGATGGCATCATCTTTCTTTCACCCTTGCTCTACACCCTAGCTTCATCGCCTTCATCGCTCGCCTACAGCCTTCATCGTCTGCAAGGTGAGACTGCCTGCTAGATTAATCTTCCACTGCGTAAGGGAAAATTTCACCTTCGTAGGAGTGCACGTATAATCGCATGCAATCTGAAACAGTTACGGTGATTCTTTCTAGCCGTGTAGACGAGTCTAAGGATGTCTCACCGTGGTTTGTCATCCTGATATTGAATTCTCATCGAACACCAAAAGGTGCAAGCATATACTGCAATTCGATTCGGTAACTCACGACGCTCTCCAAAAGTATAGCAACTCTTACGCATTCGTTGCTAATTTCTTTATTACCTCATTTATATTAGTGACAACATAGTACAATAGTCTGCTTAGGCAAGTTTAAAAGATGTATGGACGAGTACGACGATGGGGTCCTGCGAGCAGAATAACACGATGCCTTAGATGCGCAGTCGGAGAGCCAACGGCTGACGGCGGCTAAGTATGCCAGACCAGTCTACTGCATCGCTTGGCTATCTCTCCAGTTTCCTCGTACTTTCTTCTTTCCATATTGTCTAGTTGTTACTGATTTAACGTTATTTGCGACCTAGTGTAGCCCCGGAAGCAAAACATGGCTTTGATGACTATTCAGACAAATATCCCATAGAACATAGGGTTGTTTCCCCCCTTTGTTCTATGGCTATTGATTACTTGATGTACCCCGACAATTGTAATTAATTAAGGGAGATTCACCCACAGGGCACAGGTACAGGCTCTTGAAATTTCTCTTAACCATACTATGCCGACACAGCCATGACTTGTATAATATGCACAGGTCATCAATCCTGCAGACCACCCTGGGTTTTCCTCTCCCGAGGCGACCATGGTGATTCCCAAGGCCCCGTCACTTGGTCGACTTTGCAAACATTAGACTTAAGATCAATACTTCTCATAAATTTATTCGTTGCTATATGACTTCCGCTCTCATAAGTTCCACACTGTTTGACAACGTATCACTGTTGTGAAATTAAGTGAGGATCGATAGGACCTTGATAGTTATCTATCCATTGTTGTGTTACACAATCTATCATCAATTCGCTACTGTATACTGTTGACGGATATTGATGCATAATTATGCAATTATTCTTTCACTTTATTTGAGCCAACATGTCATGTGGTTTGGTAAGGGCTCTTGTACAGCCCGATACACGTGTTTCGTCATAACAGACTCGTCAGTCGGGCAGAACCCGTCGCCTATCGATCTTTCTATTGAAATTTAATCTTTTATTAAAACCAAGCAAACCATTAAGATTGGCAAGTATTGTGCTACCAATTGCTCAATGAAAGTTCAGGAGAAAACTGTGTCCAGCGAAAACTGCGCGATCGTCAACAATAGTTTTACTGCTATTGCTAGAGTGCAAAAGGAAGTCTTTTTTCAAAAATGAAGTACACCATCAAAATATCCAAGGTTTACTTCAATTTAAGCGACCTATATTGATTTCCGAAGCTATCAAATGACTAGAAACCTCTGGAAAAGAGCAAAAGAGGAGTTTCGCCCGAAGAGCTGAAAATGTGTGCTTATAGCACAAACAGATAGACAGACAGACTGATAGACACACTACTACAACTGTACTGCAAAATTCGTGAGGTCCTATATTGAAGATGAATTCGAGGAATCTAAACGAATTCTGGAAACGCTGGCATCTGCAATAACAAATGTCATGGTTGATCACAGAAAAAATACGATATACTGCTGAATATTCAACGACGGTTATTCTTGACAGGAAATTGAACTACTGATCATTGATGCGTTTTCAATCACACTCGTGCCTGTCGGTGATCGAAAACGATGCTATCGTCTATTTTCAAGAAGAAATAGAACAAAAGAAAGAGTATAATCGGCAATGATTATTCCAACATCATTGACTCCAAACACGAGTTATGCGATTATGGTAAAGTGAGCATTGACCGATAAACCAAATAGTTGGATGCTAAGTAGTCGTATTCAATTACTGAGAGGAATATACGGATTTCGTGCTCATTTCTCATGGTATTTCTGTGAAGAAAGAGGTCACATGACTCAAAGAATTGTTGAAAGATCAAGGAAATTGTTTGAAAGATGTCAGTGCTAAGTTCTGTTCTAACAGCATCATCATGACAGATCGAATTCAATAAAAAAGTAGAAATAGAATAGAGCATTTCAAGTACCTTGGCATCTCATAGCCATCCTTACCTGAGAAGGAGATCGTCCGGCAGCATTGTTCAGGGGCGGTGGCAGAAATGAAGTAATAGATCGATATCGGTCATTTACAGCGTCGTTGGAGTGGGCGGAGTTAATAAGCTAGAGACGATTAGAGATAATTGCGCGGGAGGAGTGTTCAGGAGTAGGCGGGACACAAAAAAGGTAATGTTCTCGTTGGATCGAGGAGTTGCGATGGATTTGCAAGTGATAATGACTGTAGCCGACTATAACTGGCAAGAAGCAATGCACAGTCGACATAAAAGAGCTATGACAGTGGTGAAAATGAAGAATCTTCTCGATACGATGGTGGAAGTGGGAAGGGAAGGCGCAATACCAATGAATCCTATCATTTTCTAAGGGACATCCAAAAAGCTCCGGTAAATATGAGCGATATCTGAGAGTCGTGAAGTTTTCCCAGAAATACTGCTCAACAGAAAGTTGCAGACTACAGTACTACATTCGCTCGTACAGGGCACAAATGTGCGTGACATTGCCCCAATCTTAGATTGCTCTCATTGCGTCACAAGGGAATGTAGCGCACTCTTATGATGAAATGTATGTCAAACAAATATAATAAGACTTATTGCTTTAGGCGTAGATAATTGTCATGGTTTCTCACTTTAATATAGCTTTCCTACATGACGTATAGGCCGTTTTTACAGGCATATTGGAGTTGAGACGATAATAGAGAGCTTTGCTTCCATCAGTTTTTCAATATTTTTGAAGGGTTTCAGTGCAATATGCCCGTTTAAAACGATTCGACCAATGAAGATTCGAAAGCGCAAATCTTAGAGAGCTGCAATGCGTGCTTGTTTTTGAAAGGATTTCTCATAGCGCGGTAGCATTTGATTTAAAATTGTGCTTCTCGCGCTGCACGGTTCTGTAATTATCACGCTTACATTTCTCTGAAGAAAGCTTTTTCTAAACGATTAACGATCCTTGAATAGTGTAAAGTTTTTTGAGTAAAAAAATCAACGTGATTTTTGGGAATTCTTAAAACCCTGTAGCATTTATAATAAGATTATTCCCCACATGCTCCCCGCTTTTATTGAGAGCGCGCATTGATTGTATTACAACTCTCCACAACGACCGACGACGATTATCCATTTCCCTCGAGCCCTTTGTAGACACGAAGTTATGGAATCATTGTGATTTTGCCAGTGGGAAAATGCAAGAGTTCTATCGGAGTTAGAAAGCACTTGTATACGCCTACAATTAATGTTGTCGTGTGCAACTTCTCAAGCGCCAATGCTGACGTTCGCCTGCGTGAAGAATTATGGTGACAGTAGTGGTAGCTTTTGGTGAGAAATTTGCCCCCCCCC